CTGGTGGTTAGGATTTCAGCTTATGAATTTCAGGAGGACACCAACATCCAGTTCATAACAGGATAGTGTTGTCATCCACAATTTTCTTTTTTTTTTTTTAAGGGACAGTGTCTCGAACTCTGGTCTCAAGTGATCCTGCTGAGTCAGCCTCCCAAAGCTCTGGGGTTACAGGCATGCATTACCACGGTCAGCCACATCCATATTCTTAATCTCCACCATGGCCTCATGAGCCTCGTCCCCTGTCAGTGGGCTGGGGCCTCAACACAGGTAATACGCATATTAGCTGAGGCTCACGAATGCAACTGACTTGTGTAAGAATTTCCAGCTGGCCCCGCAGAGTAAGAGGCTGAAGAGCGGGAAGCAATGCTAGTGTGGCCACTGCTACAGCTCTTGGGCAATATTGACTATCCCCAACCTGTATGTGTGCCCAGGTGCTGGGTGAGCATTTCACTCCACACGAGAGGCATCATTCACTCATTCATTCGTTCATGCCGTTATACTACAGTGAATAGTAAACTCTTGAGTAATATGGGGTTTAGGGGAGCCAGTCCCCTGTTCGGTGGACAATCTGCCTGGCTGTATATAACTTTTGACTCCCCCAAAACTTAACTACTAATAGCCTGCTGTTGATTTGAAGCCTTACTGATGATACCAGCAATTAACACATATTTTGAATGTTAAACATATTATGTACTGTATGCATTTTTTTTTACTTTGAGATGGAGTCTCACTCTGTGGCCCAGGCTGGAGTGCAGTGGCACCATCTCTGCTCACTGCAACCTCCCAGGTTTAAGTGATTCTCCTGCCTCAGCCTCCCAAGTAGCTAGGATTATAGGCGTGTGCCACCACGCCAGCTAATTTTTGTATTTTTAGTAGAGATGGGGTTTTGCTATGTTGTCCTGGGTGATCTTGAACTCCTTACCTAGGTGATCTGCCTGCCTCGGCTTTCTAAAGTGCTGGGATTACAGGCGTGAGCCACTGTGCCCTGCCTGTACTGTATTCTTATAATAAAGTAAGCTAGGGAAAAGAAAATGTTATTAAGATAATCTTAAGGGAGATAAAATCTATTTACTATTCATTAGGTAGAAATGGATGGATTATCCTACTGGAGGAGGAGGAAGAGGAGGGGGTTGATTTTACAGTCTCAGGGGTGAAAGAGGCATAAGAAAATCTGTGTATAAGTGGTCCCAGAAAGTTCAAATTCTTGTTGTTGAGGGTTAGTGGTATACAGGGGACACTAGGTAAGTTAAAGGTTGGACACTAGGTAAGTTAAACGGTGGCTGACACCTGTACTCCCAGCACCGTGGGAGGCTGAGGTGGGAGGATCGCTTGAGGCCAGGAGTTTGAGACCAGTCTGGTCAATATGGCGAAATCCTGTCTCTACTAAAAATACAAAAATTAGCTAGGCATGGTGGCATGTGCCTGTAATCCCAGCTACTTGGGAGGCTGAGGCACAAGAATCACTTGAACCTGGAAGGCAGAGGTTGTAGTGAGCTGAAATGGTGCCACTTCACTCCAGCCTGGGTGACAGAGTGAGACTGTCTCAAACAAACAAACAAACAAACCAAAAAGATTAGCTAAAGGTTGAACTTTCAGTGATGAATTTAACAGAAACAATCTCACAGAGATTGTGGACAGAAGAAACAAGCACAGGTGCAGTTAAAACCTGTGATAAACGCCCTGGCAAAAACAAGTATTAGGCCAGGTGTGATGGCTTACGTCTGTAATCCCAACACTTTGGGAGGCCGAGGCAGGAGGATTGCTTGAGGCCAGGGGGTTCAAGGCTGCAGTGAGCTATGATTACACCACTGCACTCCTGCCTGGGCGGCAGAGACTCTGCTAACAAAAAAAAAAGAGAAAAAGAAAAAGAAAAAAAAAAGCTGGGCATGGTGGCTCACACCTGTAATCCCAGCACTTTGGGAGGCCGAGGTGGGTGGATCACGAGGTCAGGAGATCAAGACCATCCTGGCTAACACAGTGAAACCCCGTCTGTACTAAAAATACAAAAAAAAAAAATAGCCGGGCGTGGTGGTGGGCGCCTGTAGTCCCAGCTACTCGGGAGGCTGAAGCAGGAGAATGGCATGAACCCGGGAGGCAGAGCTTGCCATGAGCTGAGATTGTGCCACTGTACTCCAGCCTGGGTGACAGAGCAAGACTCCATCTCAAAAAAAAAAAAAAAAAAAAAAAAAAAAAAAAAAGAGCACCTGGATGAAGGAGGTTAGTTCTGAGGGACTGGGATTCATCCTGGCATTGGGACCATGGGCAAAGGTCCTGTGGTGACAAGGAGCCTGGTGCCAGCCTGGCTTAGCACCATGTGAGAGCAGAGGGGTGGAAAGGCACTAGGTAAGCATGCCTTCAGATGAGAAATGAGGGAGATGGGGACTGGGGGACCCTGACATGAAGGAGGAGGAAAGGAGATAGGGAGAATGGGTGACCAGAGGGACCACTGAACCACCGAGGGCGGAGGCTTGCTAAGATCAGAGCCATGTGCAGGAGAATGAGCTGCAGTCTTGGACAGACCTCCCAGCGCAGCTGGTCCAGCCATCACTGACCATAACCACATGCATGATTGCAGGTGGAACCGGAAGAACCAACCAGGCAACCCACAGAACTGGGGAACAAATCAAGTCTTGTTTTAAACGACTACATTATGGGTAGTCTGCCATGAAGCAGTGGATCACTGAAACAGAGTCTAAAATATCTATTAGGCCGGGCGTGTGGTGAGTAGCTCACACCTGTAATCCCAGCATTTTAGGAAGCTGAGACAGGAGGATCCCTTGAACGAGGAATTTGAGACCAGTCTTGGCAACATGGCAAGACCCTGTCTCCGCAAAAAATAAAGAAAGAATTAGCTGGACATGGTGGCACATGCCTGTAGTCCCAGCTACTTTGGAGGCTGGGACAGAATTGTTTGAGCCCAGGAATTGGAGGCTGCAGTGAGCTGTGATTGCACCACTGCACTCCAGCCTGGGCAACAGAGTGAAACCTTGTCTCTAAAAGAAAAAGGTCTACCAACCAGGCAGGAGCACTGAATGCCTCCTGTCTCCCCTGAGACCCTTGTAGACCTTGAGGTCTGTCACAGAGTTCACCAACCTTCTCTTGGTCTAGAATTATCTATAAATAGTTGAGTGTAGCCGGAGAGGACCGAGTACACGGTGTTCTTCAACCCCACCAAACTGCTGTGCCCTGCAGATGATCCTTGAGCCCAGGTGTTGGTGCACTGAGGACAAGGCTGAGGGGACAGAGGTGGGAACAGCTGCCCAGGGCCAGGAGAAGGCAGAGTTCAGAGTGCGTGACCTACCTCTAACTCTATATGCTCCAGGGGTCTGAGACCATCTCCAGCAAGGTCTGGAAGGTCCAACCATTCCGCAGCACACACAGTCACCACTGGATACAATCCTTCCCTGTGAGTGGTGCCAGGGTCCTGGGGCAGTGAAGTCTGTGAAACAAAGTTGGGACCAGAATGTCTCTACTGTTGAGGGCTAGGTTTATTTTCTCTCTACATATAACTGTAAGTACAAAGTAGAAACACCTATCTTCAATCTTAAAAGGATCAAAAAGCTCTGACAGTGTCAGTGGTAGGGCTGGCTCAGGGGCTGCAGTAGTGCTGGTGCACAGGTACGACCTTCTCCTGCCCTGATTCCCAAGGACTGGTGCTCTGGGACGGGTCTGGGAGGCGTATTTCTCTTTCACAAATACATGCACGACACGTGCAGGAGCTACTGGATGAGGGAAGAAATGAATGAATGAGTGAACAAAGCTTCCTTTCTCCTCTCCAGAAATCAGCATTCACCTGTTAGTTCCCCACTGCACACCAGCCTGTACAGAGGAGGGAGGGGCAACAAGTCATAGATGTGGTTGCAGCCGTGACTGGACAGAGTGGTCAAGACATCCTGTGTCTGCAGAGGCCCTCCCCAGCCCTTACCTGGGCAGTGGAGTTGTTGCCAGAGGGGCAGTGGGAAGAAGGGTGGGGCTCCCAGAGTCGGCCCAGCTGGCTGAAACTGGTGCAGTCTGCACCTCACCAGGCAGAGAGTGGATGTGAGGCAGCTTGACACCGAGCAGGGGGCTCATCTGAGCCTCAGGGGTGGTTGCTCTATCAAGTGTTTGCGAGTAAACAGTCCCAGTGCACATCCAGCTGCTCAGTGCCACCTCGCGCACCCAGGGCCACTTCAGCCCTGATCACAGGCCCGCACAGGTTCCAGGGAGGGGACACTTCAGCTTTGTGTGGGAGGATGAGCATGTGGGATCAGAGACTTTAAGTCCAAATTTCCCCTTAAATTTTTTTTTTTTTTTAAATCTTGCAGGTAGTATGCAAACATACTTTTAATTAATTTATTATTTTTATTCTCATTTATTTTTTCGAGGCAGTGTCTCCCTCTGTTGGCCAGGCTGGAGGGCAGTGATGAGATCTTGGCTTGCTGTAGCCTCAACCTCCCAGGCTCAAGTGATCCTCCCACCTCAGCCTCCCAAGTAGTTGGGACTGCAGGTGCCTGGCCACCATGCCCAGCTAATTTTTATTTATTTATTTATTTTTTGTAGAAATGGTGTTTTGCCATGTTGCTCAGGTTGGACTCAAACTCCTGAGCTCAAGTGATCCTCCCACCTTGGCCTCCCAAAGTGCTGGGATTATAGGTGTGAGACACTGCATCCGGCTCCCAAATTTCCCCTTTTTATAAGGACACCAGTTGTACTGACCAGGACCCCACTTCTGTGACCTCATTTAACCTTCATTAGCTCCTTAAAGGCCCCATCTCCAAATACGGGCACACTGGGGGTTAGGGCTTCAACCTATGGATTTGGGGGATGCAATTCAATCCATCACAGTGCCAAACTGCACCTGCTCGGTGAGCCCGAACTGGGGTGGGGAAGACGCCAGGGCCCTGGTGCTTCTTTCCCTAGCCTGAGTCACTTTGCTTGGTTCTGGGAGGGAGAGGAGCATGGGCTGAACGCAGTGCTGGAGTGTGGAAGGGGCAGTGCATCCCAACCTGCTCTGGGCCCCCAGTGTCTTCTGCTGTTCAAAGCAGGTGTTTTCACCCCGCGAGGATGTGTCCTCCTTTTCTGGCTCACCAAGCATTTAAGTGTGGACAGAAAGTTTATTTCTCTGGGGCTCAGCTTCTTCAGGGGGAAGTTGAGGTCACACCCCTTGAGGGACCTTAACCCAAAGGCCTCCAGGGTACTGGCCCCAGAGTCTCTAGCAGGTGCATCCTCTCTGAATGCTTCCACATGGCAAGATCAGAGCCACAAATGCTGCCCCCACGCTGTTCCAGTAACCGAAGAAAGTCTAGGATGGTAGTGGCCAGAACGAGGTGTGCCACGGCCCCACCTCTCAGAGCAGGGAGGAGGATACTGCGCCAGCCCTTGGGGACCCCAGGCACCGTGGCCACAGAAGTCAGAGCTCTGCGGGTCTGCACCATGTCCTGGGCTCCTGTCCTGCTCATGCTGCTTGTCTACTGCACAGGTGAGGGAACCCCCAGAGCCCAAAGACCCCTGCCCCTTCCTTCACCCAATCCTGCCCCCACGGCCCGCATGCTTCTGTGTCACCAGGTTGTGGTCCTCAGCCGGTGCTGCATCAGCCGTCGGCCATGTCCTCAGCCCTTGGAACCACAATCCGCCTCACCTGCACCCTGAGGAACGACCATGACATCAGTGTGTACAGCGTCTACTGGTACCAGCAGAGGCCGGGCCACCCTCCGAGGTTCCTGCTGAGGTACTTCTCACAGTCAGACAAGAGCCAGGGCCCCCAGGTACCCCCTCGCTTCTCTGGATCCAAAGATGTGGCCGGGAACAAGGGGTATTTGAACATCGCTGAGCTACAGCCTGAGGACGAGGCTATGTATTACTGTGCTATGGGGGCCCGCAGCTTCGAGAAGAAGGAGAGGGAGAGGGAGTGGGAGGAAGAAATGGAACCCACTGCAGCCGGGACACCTGTCCCTTGAACTGAAGACAGAAGGGGCATGCATCCCCTTGGAGAGGCTGGCGTGGAAGAGGGTGGAGCCATGGCCTGAAGCGCTGAGGAGGCTGAGCCACTCAGCATCTCCTGGTCCTGCAGTGTTGCTGTAAATCCCCACTGGAGACTGCATTAGGGAATTAAAGCTGCTTGTGACTTTTTGCTGAGTTTGGTCTGACTGTTGTGCGATCTTGTAGTACCAGCCTCGGGCAAAGGCCCAGGGCCCCAGGAGACTGGCAGATCACAATCTGCTCAGCCGAGGCATTGTGGTGAGCGCTCACCTGAGTCCCTACTTTTGTGGGCCATGGGAAGCAAGGGGTTGATTAAAACACCCTAGAGGGGCATCCCTGCCAAGGACAGGACCCTCTGGTGTCATCTGATTCTGCCCAGGGGTTACAGAGTAAACAAGCTTAGAAAGCACCTGGCCTGGGCCTCCGGGGAGAACAGGAGCCAGGTGATAGGCCTAGAGCAGGTTCTCCACCTTGGTCCTATTGATGTTTTGGGCTGGTCAGTTCTTGGCTCTGGGGCTGTCCTGTGGATTGTCGAATGGTGAGTGGCATCTGTGGCCTCTACCCACCAGATGCCCCTTCCCAGTTGTGACAAACAAAAATGTCTCCAGACATTGCCAAATGTCCCCAGGTGGTAAACTCACACTGATTGTGAACCACTGGTCTAGATGAGCAAGTAAATGCATTGACTTATTTGCACAAGAGAGTGGCAGGTGTCGGCAAACATGTTCTTTTCCTTCTTTTTTTAGAGACAAAGTCTTGCTCTGTGGTCCAGGCTGGAGTGCAGTGGTGCAATCACAGCTCACTGCAGCTTCGAACTCCCAGGCTCAAGTGATTCTCCTGTCTCAGCCTCCTGAGCAGCTGAGACTACAGGTGTGCATCACCAGGCTTAGCTATTTATTTAGTTTTATTTTTGGAGAGAAGAATGTCTCACTATGTTGCTCAAGCTGATCTCAAACTCCTGAGCTCAAGTGATCCCCCTGCTTGGGCCTCCCACAGCGCTGGGATTAGAGGTGTGAGCCACTGCACCCAGCCCATTTTCTATAAAGAGCCAGATGGTAAATATTTTTGGCTTTGCGGGCTACGTGATCTCTGTCACAACTGCTTAATTCTGTCGTTGTAGCAAGAAAGCAGCCATAGATAATATGTGAACAAAGAGGCATGGCCGTGTTCTTATTAAGCTGTATTTACAGAAACAGATGGGGCTGCACTGGGCTGGGTATGGCACTCAGGCCGTAGTTTGCTGAGCCTTGCTCAGGAGCACTCCAGTTCCTGCCTCCAGGTTTTAAGCAAGCCACACTTGGTGGGATAATCAGAGTCCCCCCTCAAATTATCCTGCCTGTGACCCCAGGCAGGAGCCTCTGGACCCCTGGAGATACCTAGAGGCATGAAGGACATGGTCTCACTGAGACTGTGTTGGACTGGCTGGGTGAAGCAGCAGTGGGGAGCTCCCCGCAGCCCTGGCCCACAGCAGGGCCCCTGAGCCTGTGGGTGGTGGGTCTGAGTATGCCTTGCAGAGAGGGACTCCTACGTTGGGTGTCCACACAACCTGTAGACATGCCTCACCCTCAGAGAGGTGCCGGCAAACCATCTCCCTTGTAACCCCAGCTTGGCTGAGCACATCCTTTCACCACAGCTAAGAAGATCCTGAGGCATCTCCCCAGAGAGGTAGGCACAGGCCAGTATCAGCCAATATCAGCCTTCCATGTGTGGTCACGAGTCCCTCTCTTGTTAACCAGGGGTCTCCTGCACTCTGGGAGGCCAAGGCGGGTGGATCACCTGAGGTCAGGAGTTCGAGACCAGCTTGACCCACATGGTGAAATCTCATCTCTACTAAAAATACAAAAATTAGCTGGGTGTGGTGGCGCATGCCTGTAATCCCAGCTACTTGGGAGGTTGAGGCAGGAGAATCGCTTGAACCCAGGAGGCAGAGGCTGCCGTGAGCCGAGATCGCGCCACTGCACTCCAATCTGGGTGACAGAGCGAGATTCCATCTCCAAAAAAAAAAAAAAAAAAAAAAAAGAAAAGAAAAGAAACAACAAAGAAACAGTGATCTCAGCTTATGCTATGCTCTATGCATTGGGTTCTTCGTGCATCAGGCTTTTACCCCTGGGCCAGGCCCACATTTTAAAACATTATTATTTATTTGTTTATTATTTTATTTTAGAGATAGGATCTTGCTATGCTGCCCAGGCTGGACTGCTATGGCTGTTCACAGGTTCAGTCATGATGCTCTACAGCCTTGAACTCCTGGGCTCCAGCGATCCTCCTGTCTCAGCCTGCTAAGTGGCTGAACTACACGTGTGAGTCACTGCACCTGGCCATGGCCCACAGTTTTAAAGGCCAGCTAGATGGTTCCAGAGGAACTCTGTCTTCTGCTTGTAACCCATCCCTCTCTAGCTTTCATCCTTCATGATTCTGGGATTCCATGCTATGACAAGAAATCTAGAAAGCTAGGAGCTGAGTTGGACTCCAGTATCATCCTCATGCCTCCGCCCCATTAGCTCAATGGAAAATGAGACCTGGAACTCAGGCTTGAGGCCAGACTGAGCGTGAGTCTTAGCTCTGGAGGAGTCACTTAAAATCTAAGCCAACATTTCCAACGTTGTATGTAAAGGGGATAATCATAGAACTGATTAACTTATATAAAAAGTTTTTATCCAACTGGGCGTGGTGGCTCACTCCTGTAATCCTAGCACTTTGGGAGGCCGAGGCGGGCAGATCGCCTAAGGACAGGAGTTTGAGACCATCCTGGGTAACATGGTGAAACCCTGTCTCTACTAGAAATACAAAAATTACCTGGGCATGGTGGTGGGTGCCTCTAATCCCAGCTACTTGGGAGGCTAACACAGAAGAATTGCTTGAACCTGGGAGGCGGAGGTTGTAGTGAACTGAAATTGCACCACAGCACTCCAGCCTGGGCGACAGAGTGAGACTCTCTCTCAAAAACAAACAAACAAACAAAAAGTTTTTATCCATCATGACAGTTCAACAAAATAATAGTATCATGATTTCCCCATCAGTCACCTGCCTGGCCTTCCCTCTTGTCAAATCCTTTCCTTTAGTCTGAGTCATTTCTCGCCTTGACCATTATTTGGTCTCCTTCCCATCCATCGTCCTGCTGCATGCAGCCTGTACCCACCACTCCTCATCTTTTTGCTCCTAGATCCGACCTTGCCTGCATTCCTCCTCTCTAACCCTTTATTGTCTCCCACACTCTAAGAAACACATGCAAGCCACATCTGTAATTTCCAATTTTCCAGTGGCTACATAATTTTTAAAGGGTAAAAACAAATAGGTGAAATGATTTTTAATGTTATATTTTATTGAACACAATATATCCCCAATATTACCAATTCAACCTATAATCAATATAAAAATTAGTTACTAGATAGTTGAAACTTGTTTTTCTTTTGTATCCACTTTCGAAAATCTGGTATGTATTTTATACCCACATCTTGGATAATTTGGACCAGCCAAGGGGTCAAGAGCTACATATGGCTTGTGAAGAGACCACTTGGGTTGAGGGGATGCAATTCAGCCTCCTTCCCATGACACAGCCTTTGAAGCCTGGCTCAGGCTTGGTCCCAAGTCCCATTTCTTGTGCACCCTCTCTCCCTATTTCTGCCATGTTAAGCCAACTGCAATTGACCAAAATCGAGTCTCTTGATTGCTTCTAAACCTTTGCCCAGGCTGTTTACTGCCAGGACTTCCTGTCCCTTTGTGGTGGCCTCCAGCTGGCTGCACTGACTCGGGGTTCCACAACTGTTTCAAATCTCACTCCTTGGGCAAGACTTCCCTGACCTCTTCATGCAGTTATTAACTTCCTCCATGTGCAAACAGCATGTTTTCCTAACTATATTTAGCATCTACTGCACAGTTCTAAATTTATTTAGTAAAGCTCCCTCCCATACTAATTTGCAGATTCTCAGTGGGCAGGATCTACTCAACCCATTGATGTGCCTGATAGACACTTGGCAATTAGAGTTGAACGAACAAATGAATGAATGTGTAACTGAATGAATTCTCGGGTTCCAAGGACCCTGCCATTGTGGGATCCCATTAGGTGGCTGGGGTCACCACCTTAGAGAATTGTGATTCCCTAAGAAGGCAGAACCAGCCCAGACCTTCTCTCTATCACATTAGTGACTGGCCACATTTCCTCTCCTTTCCCTTTTTCTCTCTCCCCCACACCATTCCTGCATGACAGTGATGAGAAAATCCACCTGGTCAACCGAACTACAACTTTCAGCCTCATCCCTATCCCTCCCTCGCCTTCTGACCAGGGCCACAGTCACCCCATGGGTTCTTCGCCTCGAGCGTCTCTCACTCCCTTCCTCCTCCATATCTCTGAGACCAGCCTCCAGTCCCCCTGGCCTGCTCTGCCGCCTTCTGGCTCTTTGTTGAACCCAAGACCAGGGATGTCCTTCTAAAGAGTCAGTTCCTTCCATCCAGCCTCCTTTTCATAATCTCTATCAACCCCAGGTAAGGAACCAACCCAATCCCTCACCCTGACACATAAGGACATCTGCAATCAGGATGCAAATGATCTTACCCAACTTTCCACTCCGACTTCATGTGCTCAAGTCCACTCTTAGTGGTATATTCTGCCATCCCTCACCAAGCCATTTAAAGTGCCTGATCGTCATTCCAAATTCCCTTTCTCTCCTTGGACTATGATATGTTTTCTTTGTCCCCCAGCAGGACTCCACTCTCCACTCACACACCCAGTTACAGTTACAGTTGCCTCCTTCCCTGGCCCCTGCGGAAGGAGCTGCCCAGGCCTTTGCTCTCAAGAGCCTTCTGCATTCCCCACTGCCTGCAGCCTCCTTACATTGGACGGTCATCATATTTCCCATGGGTCAAATGTAGAAGTCCTCCGCGGAAAGGCTGTTTATTAATATTAGTTACTTTGGGGCTGGGCGCAGTGGCTTATGCCTGTCATCCCAGCACTTTGGGAGGCTGAGCCAGGTGGATCACTTGAGGCCAGAAGTTTGGGACCAGCCTGGTCAACATGGTGAGACCTCGTTTCTACTAAAAATACAAAAATTAGCCGGACGAGGTATGTACACCTGTAATCCCAGCTACTTGGGAAGCTGAAGCATGAGAATCACTTGAACCTGGGAGGTGGAGGTTGCAGTGAGCCGAGATCATACCAC